TGGCCAGCAGCTACTAGTAGCTTGTTGCTCCTAGTAGCCATGCCCTTGTTACTAGTAGCTTCTTGTCACTAGCAGTATGGCCAGCAACTAGTAGCTTGTTGCTCCTAGTAGCCATGCCCTTGTTACTAGTAGCTTCTTGTTACTAGCAGCAAGGCCAGTTGCTACTAGTAGCTTGTTGCTCCTAGTAGCCATGCCCTTGTTACTAGTAGCTTCTTGTTACTAGCAGTATGGCCAGCAGCTACTAGTAGCTTGTTGCTCCTAGTAGCCATGCCCTTGTTACTAGTAGCTTCTTGCTACTAGCAGTATGGCCAGGAGCTACTGATAGCGTCGTGTTAATAGTGTCCTTCTTCACGACTCTCATCACCGAATCCCGTAGGCACGAGGGACGGTTTCTGGGCTGCGCTCGGTTCAGGCTGGCTCGATTGACCTGTCCGAGGAGCAGATGGAGGAAGCCTACACACAGCTGGGCCTAGAGGCCGCATTGTCCCAAAACAGCGTTTGTAGGGTTGGTTTGCTTGAGTGTTTCTGATTTGACCCAGCAGCTGACCAAGCTGCCATGAATGACCGAATCCACTTCCTGTATGGTAGGACTAAATGACCATGACATGATCTAGACAATCTACACTTTCGTGCCAATTCAAAACCAACCTCCTTGAACAGCCATCCAGGTTGAAGATCCCACGATCAACCTCCTTCAACAGTACGAACCCGAAGCCAACGGGTTGGAGCCACAGATGCAAAGCATGAGCGCCAAATCAATCCATATTATAAATTGATTACAATATATATATATATAATGTATAGTTGTATAACCTAGCTCACACCGATGTATCCAGCGTATCCTCTCGATTCCTTTGGGAACATCAAGCAAATCTCCGCATGGGGTCACGCGCCACGCCAACAGTGGCACTCAGGAGATTCCGGAGCGGCTTTTTCGAGAAGTGATGCTCAATCAGCAAGAGGAATTGGTGATGTTTTTGGTCAAACCCCTGTTTTGCGGATTGTCCATGAAATGGGTGAAGAATCAAGGGGTTTTGACGTTGACGGATGGACTCAGCCTTGAAACAGATTTGGGTTCCCGCTCTTCAAGACCAGACCAAGGGTCCAGCCCACCGCGCCTTTTTGTGAGGTTTGTGTTTTGCACAAACGGACGTCGACAGCCATTACGGACCCACAATCACATCGTTTGAAACCACCAACATCAATCCTCTTGGAGATTTTGAGCTTTGTCACGTTTGATCCACTTGCCCTTGCAGGTATGTACAACGTGCAGACATTTCTCGCTCCGCAGATTGGCAGACTGGAAGGCCATCTGAACCTGCCTTCATGGACATGACGCTGGGTCAATATACAAACCTTTCTGGTTCTGTTTTCCAGCCTGTGACTGCAGACTTTCATGGCTGTTATCAAACGGTGGCAGTAGCACTCTTAATTGCAAAAATGAGGCTGGCTTACACGTGTGTGAATTCCTTTTGCCGTGCACGGCGATGCTTTTCCTACATTCCTCGGTGTGCAGACTCGTGAGGGCAACATTTTTGTTTTTCACCAGCCGAGTTGGGACGGCTGATTGACAGCCAGACTCACCAGAGAGAGAGAGAGAGAGACAGAGAGAGGGAGGGGCGTATGGCTCAAGTTTGGGCTTGACCCCTCGCTGTGGTCTTCGAGGGGTTCTTGGTCCAATCCTACTTGGACGGTGGCCTTGCCTTCGGAACGACCTTAACCTGCAGGAGCACCTCGATGATGAGTGGTTGGGAACAGCCCCGGAGGAGAGCAAGGTCGTACTGTGTGTGCCAAGGATGTCAAGAATCGTGGATTTGGAGTGACCGGGTCTCGGCGTCCAGATGGCAGTGTGACAAGTGCCACACGCCGTGGCCACAAGAAGGATGGGGAAAGACCTGGACCAGATCAACCAGACGACGTGATCGCACCCGCAAGGACAAGACAGTCTTGGTTGAAAGACCACCAGGCCTGGGCAACAAACCCAAGCAAGCAATCAGTGCACTAGAGAACACTTTGAAGAAAGCTTGGGGAACGATGCAAGGAGGCTCAAGATGCATTGAAGGTCGTTGGCGTTGACTTCACGCCGGAGCCGGAAAGCCCTCCTTTGGAAGAGGTTCTGAAAGCCCATTTGGATTCCCTTCCCTCAGAAGTGAAAGAAGCAGTGGTGGGCCTGATCAAGCCGACACCCTCTGTGGCCGTTGATGTCACTGGTCAACTCAAGGCCACTGTGGGAGAGCTGAGGCAATTGGCCACAAAGAAGCAATCACTGCAGAGAAAGGTTGATCAGGCCAAGGAACAGTACAAGCTCCTGCTGGATGAACTCAAAGCAGTGCAAGAGGCCATTGACAAAGAGCATAAGCAGCTTGGTGACCAGTCTGAAGCCTACGCGAAACAGCTGAAGGCTGAGGCTGTCACAGTGCCAGCAGCGGGTGAACATGTTTTGGACAGTGATGCCACGGAGCATGTCCTCAAAGCATTGGGACAGGCTGGCATTGTTTTCAACTCCACCCAACAGAAGGAGCTTGAGAGAAATTTGGCCGAAACCATGGCCAAGCGCCGCAAGACTGATGAAAATCAGTTGAGCGGGTAACACAGCTGGACCTTTGGTGATGGAAAAGGAGTTGAAAGTTGGGCAGGCTTTCCTACAGTGAAGGGGTCCTGGAGGAAGCCACGGGAGAAAGAGTTCAACACACAGAAGTTGTGGGGTTCAAACGTTTGGGAGTGTTTGAATGTTTGGAGGGTTGAGACGTCACCGCATCTTGCCGGGGGATCTGGGCAGTTTTATGGTGCGGATATGCAGTTGCTTTCTGATGATGTGCATTACAGTCATGGAGGCTCTGTGCATGGTGCCCATCAAGGAATGCAGCCGTATGTGAATGTGTGTGGATATCATGACACACCTTTCACTCATGATTTCAAAGGCATTTTTGGCATTGACATTGGTGTTGATCAGGATTTCACAGGTCTTTTTCAACCGCGGGCCGGCGTGAGCCATGTCCATGGGGAACAGGCCTGTGATGTGTCGGGGGATGATTGTCATGCACCTGAGCAACAAAGATGGAGGAGATTAGAGCAGGGCAGCATGGCATTACTGGGCCGAACATGGAAGCAGAAGGCCACGGTCAGGAGGGGGTAGGCGCACCGCCCTTGAAGAGCTTCCTGCGCAACCCTGACTCCCTCTCCAGAGACCGTCTTAGCAGAAAAGAGTCCTAGTTTAGGACATGTGCAATGTGCCTTCTTGGGTGGAGGCAAGGATGACCAGGATGACTATTACATCTTCAAGGATGATGATCGACAGAATGCAGTGCTTTTGACACCTGGTCTTCTGCAGGACAGGCTGATGGTGCTCCAAGCTAGGGCAATGGAAGCCATTCAGGTCTTGCCGGCTGGTTGAAACCAGAGTTTGGGGCTTGGAAGCCTTGAAGCACATCGTACGAATGAGGCTGGCACTCCAGGGAAGCATCCAGTTGACGAGACCTGTCACTCAGGTCCCTGATATGCCTCCCACCAATGAGCTGTTGGCTGCCAATTTGACTCTCACCATCCGCAACAATGGCAACAGGTGCTATGCCAACACGGTCCTCCGCATGTGGTGTTGGATGGGTGCACACCATGAGCGGCCTAGAGAGTTTTGGGGGCCGTCGACAAATCTGTGCCTGCAAATTCTCCAGCAAGATGACGTTCCGGATATTTTCTGGGCATCTGAACTGCAACCAGTGATTGCCAAGCTGGACAATCCACAAGCTCAGCATGATGCGTCAGAGTTTATGGTGCTGCTGTGGGAACACTGGGGACAAACAGGCATGCAAGGCAACTGGCATTCACAGTTTGGAGGGCGTGATCATGAATTTGAGACTCTCCCACTCTTTGTCAGGATGCCGGTGGAGGCTGGAGATGATGTTGGCTTTGAACAGCTATTACGGGATTGGTCCAATGAAGCCAATGGGCAATGCCTCGGAAAAGATGTCCAACACATTGTTTTCCATGTGGGACGGTATCATCATTGTCCCAAAGCCAAAGCGTGGGTCAAGCATCACAACAGGCTGGGGATACCCTCCACCTTCCAGTGTCCGCAAATGACCTCAACCGGACAGGGGTGTCATAGCTCATCAGGGAGCTGAACTCATCTCAGGGCACCATGTCACCCTGCTTGTCGAGGGAGATGCTTTATGGTCAGTTGATGATGGCCAGTGCCCACAAGCTCAGACGACTATCCCTGAGGTTTTCAAGACTGGAGCTGTGATGGTTTGGGCGTCAAAAGCTGAGCATTCCCAGTTCTGGACCAGGACGATTGGCACTTTTGAGAGGCCACGCCTGATGGGAGAAGGGATTGAAGTCTTTTACAGCAACATCACCCAATGGAACAATCAGGCCAAGGAATGGCTGCTGCAGACAGAGCATCATACAGTGGCTATGGTTGAAACCCATCTGCAAGGGGGGAAGCTGGACCAAGTCAAGGCAGCCCTATGCAGAAGTCGATGGCAGGCTGAATTCCTACCAGCGCATGAGACAGGTAGAGGAGGCACAAGTGGAGGACACCTCTTTTGCTGCAGAGAAGGGCAATCGGCCTACCGCCTCCATCATTTTGACAAGGATGGCAATGGATTCCTGGCCAATGTGCTTCAGCGGCAACGATGGGAGATTGTCTTGATCTCCATCTGTCTGAAGTGTGGGGAGGACCTGACCTCCATGGCCAATTCAATCATCCTTGGGGAGCTGGCGGCATTTCTCAAAGAGCTTGCAGTGCCCTGGATCATCATATGACATTCCAAGTACCGCCGGAACAATGGGAAGGGCATCATTTGCCCAATGTTCTGAAAGCGGAAGTTGTGAGTACAGGGCAATCCACGATGATCAATGGGGCGGAGATTGATTATGTCCTGGCCAGCAATGTGGTTGTGCCCTTTCTGGAGGTCAAAGTGCAGTGGGAAGTCCCATGGAAGCCTCATGCTGGTTTGCTCCTCACTGTCAACAAGGCAGCGCCGAGGCTAATCCTGCCACAGCACACATTTTGCAGCAGTTCCCAAGCTTGAGGATGCGGCAAGGGCGTGGGATGATGTCAAAGCCACACCAAAGCTGTTTTGGCTGGGAAGGCCGATTGGGCCTAAGGAGCAACAGTGTGCAGAGTGGTGTCATCAAGCGGAACAGTGTGTCCTCCAAAATCTGACTGACCCCAAGATGGGAAGAGGATCGTATCTGGCCTTGGAGATGAAGCCTCTACCAGTCACAAAGCCACTCACACCCTGGAAAAAGGGCGACCTGGCGTATTGGGGCCAGTTTCAGTCCATCCTTGCTCATGTGGCCAGCAAAGGCCGGATGACTCCCAGTGCTCTCGTCCACCTCAAGGCCAAGGCAGCTGACTTGGACCGCAGATGGCAGGAGGTGCGTGGCAAGGCAGCTTTTGTGGCAGCCCTGGAGACCATGCTGACTGGGCAAGGTTGGCCGTTGACGCTGCTGATCAAGGGTGCGGATGCAAATCAAGATTTTGCCAAAAAAGTGGCCCTGGAACATCAATCCAAAGAGTTCCAAGTCTGGTTGGCCCAGTCTGCAGTTCATGTCAGGCCCTTCCGCACTGTCCCAGTCCAGGATAGACAGAAGATGCGAGAGCAACAGTGGTATGGGCAATGGCAGGTCGTTGACAAGCCGTTGTCCAATGGAGAGCGTGAACGACTCTGTTGGGAAGCAATCCAACAGGCGAGGAGGTGGGAAGACTTAGACCCCCACATGGTGATGAAGCGCTTCCGGAAGTTACCACAGAAGGCATGTGGCCCTGATGGCACCAGCTATGCGTTGCTTAAAAACCTGCCAATCGAAGGAGTCACTGATCTTTGCAACATGTTTCGCACCTGGGAACTTGCAGGGAGGAGGTTGCCTGAGCAAGTCTGTACCACGCTGGTTTTGTTGCTTCCCAAGAAGCCAGACATTGAGCGTCCCATTTCATTGACAAGCGTGCTCTACAGAACATGGTGCAAACTTCGTTGGGACAAGCTGAAGCACTGGCAGAGCACCATTGGGCAGCGACTCCCTTGGGAAAGGAGGTTTTGCATGTTGCTCTCATGCGTCTGCTCAAGTGTGAGGTCAGCCGTGCTGTTGACAGGCATGTGATTAGCCTCCTGATCGATTTGCAGTGCTTTTACGATTCAGTTGAACTTGAGCGGCTCTTGCATCTTTGGGAACCGTTGGGCTACCCAGCTGTGCATATGAATTTTCTGTATGAAGTGTACAGTGGACCACGTCTCCTACAAGCAGAACAAGTCACCAGCTCTCCGGTCCACTGCAGGAAGGGAATTCTGGCAGGATGCCCCATGGCACCCCTAGTTGCGAAACTTGTCCTGGCCCCGGTGATTGAGAACTTTGTGAGGGCACATCCGAAGTCGTCCATTGATGTCACGAAAGCTAGCACCAGCTAGCTGGAGTTGTCCTTGCTTTAGCAAGTGAGGGGCTGGAATCCTCGGGATCGCCGCATCACGTGAAAACTTCATATGTAGGGGGGCCCCCCCCCGCGGGTTCAACTCCCCCCTGACACCTCTCGGGCATCTCTTATGGCATCCACTTTGGCTTAACTCCTCCGGGATACGGTGCAACAGATTCAACAAGCTCACATGTTCATGACATCGACATCGATAGAAGAAACCAAACAAATCATGCAAGCAGCTTTGTTTTGCGTCTGGGACACCTCTTGGGCACCTCTTATGGCATCCACACTGGTTCAACTCCTCCGTGGAGGTTTTGGGATACGGTGCAACAGATTCAACAAGCTCACAGGTTCGTGAACACATCGGATGCATCGAACAGTGTGGCAAAGTCCAGCCACGCTTCCTTCTTCAATTCGAAGGTTGGCTGTGTCATTGCTGTTTGTGTGTCTTACATGTTCACAACGTTTTACCTCATGAGCATTTGCCTCACTCCGCTTGATGTCCCACCAGTCCGGATGCACCCCTGCTAGCTTTCGTCACCTACCCTCGGCCTCAAGTTTGGGTAGATGACATTTCAGTCGACTTCGCGGGGCAGGATGTTCACGTGGTTTGCCAAGAAGCCCTGGCAGGATATGAGGAGCTCAAGAGTGGCTTGGAAGATGCTGGGCTGACCCTCTCAGTCAGCAAGACAGGATTCCTCACGTCCAGCATTGAGTGCAAGAAGCAGCTGAATCTGACAAGACGTGAAGAGCAGCCAAGGGCGCAGGACCTGTTGAAGGATCTTGGCTTGGATTCGAGTGGAGGCCGCAGACGCAGAATTGGCACTCAGCAACAGCGGCTGTTGAAAAGACGAGGTCGCCAATCCAAATTGCTGCACTTCAAACTCAGATCCAGACCGGTCAGGATCAGAATCTGGAAGACGTCGGTGCGAGCAGCAGTTAGCTATGGCGTTGAAGCACAGGGCATTGCGCCACAGAGGCTTCGTGTGCTGAGGACTCAGCTGGCGCGGCATGGTGGTTTGCAGAAAGGGGGGGGCTGTGACATTGTATTTGATCAGCAAAGCAAGCTCCAAGATCCTCGTGACGCTGCCATAGAGCGTCAGATGAGGGCCATGCATCAGCTTGTCCAAGCGTGGCCTGTGGCTGAGCGAGGAGAGCTTGAGGCGGCTGAGGTTGCAAGCTGCGGCATATCCCTGGATGGTGGTTGCAGGCCCCATGGCAGCCCTGCAGGCATACCTCATTGAGATGAAATGGGATGCAGCGTTGCTGGATGATTGTGTTCGCCAGCCGCAGGGCATGAGACAAGTGGCACAGCTCAATCTTGAGTTCCCATGGCCGTATCTGCAAAAGCAACTGCATGAAGAGTTAGAACAGCAGAGGGCATCCAGAATTCAAGAGCTGGAGCATTGTTTTCCCATGATGAGGAGCCCTGATTGGACCACATACCATCGTGTCATCAAGCAGCTCAAGGGCGTTCCAAGGGCAGCAGTTGATGCCTGGACGCAAGGCTCACTACGCACACATGTGAGTGGGGAGCGTGTCCTATGTCCCTTGTGCAAGGTGCCTGTCACGATGAAACATCTCATCTGGGAGTGCTGTTATCATGAAGAAGCCCTTCCGCTTGATTGGAGGCGACTCATTGCAGCCAATGAAGATGCTATGCTGTGGGCAAGAGGTCTGATTGAAAGTCCGGACTACAAGCCCAGAGTTGGTGTGGACTCTTTGCATGCCACAGGTATGTTGGAGGAGGGATGGCCGACACGCATTGGACCCAGCTACAGAATAGCCATTGGTGTCAAAGCTACCTGCAAAGATGTGAGGGTGCAGCGGTATGCAGTGGCCATAGTTGTTGGACAATGGAAGGAAAACAGCTGGCAAGTTGAAGGCGCCTGTACGGCGCTCACACCGGGCAAGGCCAATGAGGCCAGGGCATGGGTGTTTGGTTGTTGGCTTGTGCTCCAGGCCTTCCTGGGCCGACGCCAGATCAACATTCCTGACTGGAGTGGTTGGCAAGCTTTGCAGAATGGGGCAAAGAGTGTGTTGGTGGCTGCCTTATGGCACAACCTCAATGCCAGTGAGTGGAGCAGGTTGAAAGCTCTACATGTCCCGCCAAAGCTGCTCAAGACTGAACAAGGTGATCAGAGGGCATGGCTACAGTTCCATGAAGCTCAATTGTGTGCAGCTCAGAGGGCAGCCCAGGAGATGCCGGTTGATTTGCTTCACACCCTGCGCACAATGATGCATGGCATCGCCAAGTTTATGAAGTGGCAGCTGACAGGATTGGGGCCATCTTGCAGGACAAAGACCACTACATGCATGACAAGCTTGCCAGCGTTGAAGCTGAGTACAAAGTCAAGGTCAAGGCGCCCAAGGGCCGCATTGAGGTCATGCAGCAGCTCACCCAGCGGGCTGGTGGTGAAGGGCAACATCAATGGGCGTTGAGAGAGAAAGGTGGAGGAGTGCAATGCCAGGCATGTGGGATGCACATCAAGTCATGCTCCACTCATGCCGAGATTGACAGGAAAGACAAGACAATTTGTGCTGGTGTTCGAAGCCACACGCTCACCCAGCAGATGGAGCAGTTGGTTGAAGAGAGTGGCTTGTTGCCGGATGACGCACCGGGACATCGTTGGGTGCTTCGCTCCAGCACTTTCAGTTGCTTGCGGTGTTGGCTGAAAGTGCCTAGAAGATGTGGCAAAGGAGCACTTCAGGTTGTGCAGAATGCCCCGTGCAGATATGAGCAGCTTCAAGAAAGCGACATGCAGCTGCGTACGAGATTGCACCCTAGCCACAATTTCTGGAGGCGCAGTGACTGGATTTCTTGCTGCAAGTGTGGAAAGAGCACCAAGGAAGTTCAGGGCAAAGTGCAAAGCTGGACGCAGCAGCAGTGTCGAAGTGCGGGTGGACAGCAGAAGTTGCAGTTCGCTCCAAGCTCCAGTAGTTGAACTGGAGGTGTTGAGGAGCTTGAAGCTCTGGGTTTTCAACTTTCAAGAGTAGCGGCTTGATGATGTTTCTTGGAGGTTGGCAGAAGTGTGAAGAGGCCAGTCTGCAAGGAGAATGAGCCTTGGACTGTGCCAGAGGCCGCTTTTGGCCCACAGTGGCTGCGGCTTGAAGCCGGATGGGTGGAAAAGAACCGAGAAAAAAAAGGGAGGGTATGCACGTAATCACCAGCAATCACCAGCACATGTTAATAAGGACTTAGAGGGTTAGAGGCTGCCTTCATTTATGAACCGCAGCTGCCGCTGAGGGATCACCACTTTAAGTATATTTTCACCCACCTTCGAGCTTTGTTTATGTAGCCCAGGAACCTCCACACCTTGAGAGCCTTGGAAGGCATCAACACCAGAAGAGAGCTTCATTCATCCCCCCCATATTTTCACAAGAGTGTGACTTTTGCCTTAGGAGATTCCAACGCTCAGCCCAGAGCGGTGATTTGGCAACAAGACATGGAGGACACCTTGGGGAAACAGTGCTTCTGAAGGCTGTGTCGTTGCGTGTTGGGACTTGTGAAGGATTGCCTTAACCCCTCGAGCCTGCTGATGGCATATGAAGAGGAGAAGGCGCAGTTCGTCACCATGTCACTATCGTTACCTGTCTTGTTTGATAGATGTCATATTACTATATATTACAGTATTGCCGCAAGGTGGCTTGAGCATGCTACAGGTCAAGCCTGTGGTATCGGACTTTGATGCTTTCATGCTGGGCTGCAAGGGCCCAATGAACTTCCAGCCACTTCCACAAGAACAGGTGGAGATCATGCTACTTGGATGACAGTGGCTGCAGTTCCCCCGCTTTTCCTTGATGCTGGCTCACTACAGGAAGTGGAGCCTCGGGCAGATTTTAGAGGTGCTCGAGAGACCAGGCTCCTCTGGATGGATGTCGAGATGGCTCGAATCTTTGACCACAGAACATGTGCAGCGTTTTTTTGTTACTTGAAGCTATTGACTGGATTCACGAGTTGGAAGCTCAGGAGATTCTCAAGCGGGAATCTGACAAGGGCTTTCATCCAGAAATGCCAAGGCAGCAGAGGGCATTGGGTAGTGAACATGGTGGGCTGGCATGGTTGGTTTAGACAATTGCCTAGAGGTACATATTGGAACCTGGAAGCTCTCCACATATTCCCAGACTGTATTTTCTTTCACCATTCCGAGGGAAAAAATACAACATTGACAAACAAAGGCACGTTCCTTTTCCCAGAACTCACTGTGTTTGTGGATGACCCGACAAGAACATCTGAGGTTCGGTTTTGGGGACCCGACTTCCTACGAGATCGTGGGTGAATTTGTGACCGCCATGGGGCTCTTGGGTGCTGTCCGCCACGGAGCAGAGTGTTGCTTGGCCATCTGTGTGCCACGGAGCGGAATCGGATTCCAGAGGGGTGAACCTTGGGATGCGAGCCAATGGTTTTGGGGAGTGTGGTCCAGATTTCAGGCTGCTGCTGGAGGTCGTTTGTCGAGCTTCGCCAAGGTTTCAACTTCTACTTCCCACAGGACCTGGACGATGAATTTCTGGTGATTTCGGGTACCTTTGGCGCAGAGCCATGGAGGCGCAGGGCTGAGTTTGCCGCATGCCGTCAGTTCGAGAGTGTCCTTGAAGGTACATGAAGGAGCCGGAGCTGCGGGAATTCTTGATGGATAGCATTTCTCAGGGATACAGCTTTCCATTGACCCTTAGATGCATTCAGACTCACTGACCGTGGACGAGATGTTCACACCATGTGTGCTAAGGAACCCGAAGTGGATCATTTGTGACGCAGGCTCTGACCGGTGTGCTGCAGGAGAGAATGCTTCCTTTGTGCTGGATAGGCTGGCGCGATGTCTTTCAACAGCTCAGAGCAGGGGAGGGGAGCCAGAAGCACCTTGCGTCCTGGTTCCCGTGGCTCTCCAGAAACTTTTCAATTTTGCACACGGACTCGCTTCCCTTGGGATTGTTTCGATCCATCACTGGCTGAGGCCTGATTCGGGATTGAATCTGGGCAAAGATTGGGCGCATTTGTCACATGGGAAGTGAAACGCCGGCTCACATTGTGAGGATGGACACAATCGATGAGCTTTGCCAGAAGCTGCCGCCCAAGTGCACACTCACTGAACGCGGTTTTGTCATCATGAAGTCTCAGTTATCAGCACCCAGTTCTGCTAGGTTTCCGGAGGGCTTTACTAAGCCCACCGGCGTTTTGGAGATGGACATTGATCTTGCTGTGCCACCCTGAGAGCACTGAGCCACAACAGCCAGCTCAGCCCGCAGTTTCCACTTTGCCAGGAATTCCAGTTGAAGCGCTATGAAACGCTCCAGCGAGTGGATTGCCCAGAGCTTCAGGGACATATAGTAGACTGAAAAGTGAGCTCAAACACGCGAAAAGACCCAATCTCCATATATCGACCCCCAAATAAATAGAAAAGTAAAGATCCAATTGGAAACCCCTATCATTGAGATCGATGAGACGAAAGCACAAGCTGCCAGCTTCTGCCTCGTGAGGCGAAACGAAAGCTTCGAGCGTGCTTGCGGTGGAGGAAGATCAACGAGGCACAAGTTGCTAGTAGGGTGCTTGTTCCTAGTTGGCGATGCCAGGAGCCCCTAGTAGCGTTTTTGCTCCTAGTAGTAAGGCCAGGAGCCCCTAGTAGCTTTGCGTGTCACAAAGATATGGCGTTGAAAAAGCCTCTCGGTTGAAAAGCAAACGTAAACGTTGGAATCCACACTTCCACGGGGCTGCAGACATGACTGACATGACTCGGACGAAACTTGCTCCCGCAAACCGGAGGAGAAAGTGGAGAAGCAGGGAGAAAAGAAGGCGGTGAAGGACGTGGAAGAACAACTCACAAGAATCGAGGAGGGGGAAGCCGAAGACGTGGCAGAGCTGCTAAAACCTCAGCGCGTTGCGCGTTGACGAAGGCCTTCCAGGAAGAACCTGGGAGAACATTATCTTTTGGCACTCATGCTTGGAACTCCTCAAGAGTGAGTGCTCGAAGAGGAAGTTCAAGCCTTCAACTGAATGCTTTTGACCAAGGCCCGCTGCCCAAAAGATAGAGGAACCAAAGAAACCCAGCAAGAGGAAGAAGCATGACTCCCAGACCGGCTCACAAACTCGACTCTACGCGTTCATTGGATTTTGCGCAATGTGTGTAGCGTGCGTGTAGTTTTTCCCGGCCAGATAGGGCGGGCATAAAGGGTTTCTGTGCGTGTGTGGAGTACAATATCTATATACTGTATGTGAAAATCCATCCGGATTTCGAAGGTCACTTCATCGATACATGTTCGGTGATGTGGGCCCAAGCGAGGGTGGGACTCCGGAGCCTGAGGCGACGCCATGAAAATGATCGCTGGCTGTTGAGCGCTGGTGATTTTCGACACACGTGTCGATTGTTTTACATTGAGTGGACTTCGAGGGCCACCTTACATTGGTTGAGTTTGGAGTTGATTAGTTGTTCAGCTGCCTATCAACTTTTGTTGTTGGTAGCGGAGCCCTTCGGGGCATCCGCGGGGGCTCGGTGTTGACATGCCTCCAAAGACAGGACAAGCCAATGGTCCAGGGTCGACTGGCTCTGGTTCGCAGACTGCAGGTCAGCAATCAGTGCCTAGTGGGGTGAGCACCGCAAAGCTTGACAATTATGTACCTGTTTTCAGCAACCAAATGCAGGATTACAGAGAGTTCAGGAAACGATGTGAGATCTACAAGAAGAAGATGCAGATTGGAAACCGTGGTTCCGAGGTCGTATACAATCTGGTTACATTGATGACTGGAAAGGCCTGGGATTTGGTTGAAGATATGAGCATGGAGCAAATGGCCGCAGAAGACGCATATGATACATTGTTCATGAGGCTGGATCGAGGGTTCAAATATGATCCTTTGACTGAATTGCCGGATGACTTTGAGCAGTATTTTGTTCGCCTACAACGGAAGCCGCACCAGACACTTCAAGATTACATGAACGATTATACTCGTTGTGAACGACGGCTTCAGGTGACGCACAGTGTCAATCTTCCGGAAAAGGTCCGTGCATGGTGGTTTTTGCGTCGCAGCGGCATCACAAAGGAACAGCGACAGCTGATTCTTACAAATACTGGGACGACTGGACTGACAATTGAGGAAGTGATGAAGTCCATGAGTTTTATCCTTGGACAAGATTCGACATTGCAGTCAACAAGTTCCCGGTGGTCACGTCCTGTTGGCAAACCCATCGACACCTACTATTGTGATGAAGACCTGTCGTATGATTGGGCAGCTGGATCCGATGAAGTGGTAATGGATCCCTCCCCAACATATTACGGTGAAGAGTTCGATTGGGAAGACTGGCAGGACAATATGACAGATGCCAATGACGAGATCGCTTTTGCAGACAGCATTGAGCAAGTGTATGATGTTGATGAGTTCGATGACATCTACGCCAACTACCAGGATGCAAAAGCAAAGATGAATGCATTGAGAAACTCCAGAGGCTTCTATCCAGTTGTTGCCATGCTACCACAGCAGCATATGCCTGGCAGTTCGTCGAGTCCAGCACGAAAAGGTGGTGGCAAATCCAAGTCATCAAAAGGCAAGAATCGAGCAAGTCCGAAGGGTGGCAAAGCACCGAATCCAAAAGGAAGAGCAGCAGCTGCAATGGGTAACAATGCCGGTCGACAGCTTTGTCTCAGGTGCGGCAATGCAGGTCACTGGGCACGAAACTGCCCTATGCCGCCTGGAGGTGACAAGAAGCGCAAGGCAGGTGATGATTTGGATGCTGGAGTGAACATGGTGGAAGATGTGACTGCTGCCGCGGAGGCCTTTCACATGGACATGGATGATGGTGATTTTGTTGGAGACGACACAGCACAACAAGACGGTGGCGCCGCTTCTGTTTTGGGTAGTGCATGGCAGATCAAGAAGTACATTCATTTTCTGCTTGAAGAAGGTTTTGACATTCACACCATCCCGATGTTTCATTGTCAGAAGGGTTTCAAGTACGGCAACAGCATGAAGGAGACAACAGACAGATGCATTGTTCTTCCAATTTTCTTGGGTGGACACCGGATTGATGTGTTGACATATGTGATCAAAGGAACAGCACCCATTTTGATTGGACGACCATTGCTTGAGCAGTTGGGCTTGACAGTTGATTATCAGAAGAAGTTGATGAAGTGGCCTGACAGCGATTGGGAACCACTCCCAGTCGGCTCAAGAGGAGAACATCTCCTTCACCTCGGCAAGGATATTCGCAAGTGTCTCAATGCTGAACCTCACCAAGTTCTTCTACCAGATGATACAGAATCTCAGGTCGGTGAACCGATTTCCAAAGGCATTCAGAGTTTGCTGGAAGAGGTCATGATTGCCGAGGACACGTTGGACGTGTCAAAGCCTCAGCAGGAAGCCACGACGGCTCGCACACGTCGTGAAGACGGAGTTCAGGAGGAGGAGATTGGAGTGGTCAAACGACTCCATGGACATGCTTTGAGAAAGATGGAAAAGAAGGCAGAAGAAGCATGTCGAGCAGAAGAGCAGGTGTTGCATCAGAGCACCACCATCAGCAAGGACAGCAAATGTCGTGTTGTGTGGGAAGTTTTTGTTGGAGCAGGCCGAACATCCAAGCACCTCAACAAGTACCCGCACGTCCAGGCCGAGATCTTCTCGCTCCAAACCGGGTGAGATTTCCGTATCGCATCCCATCGCTCACGGTTTCTATGCAGGCTTCGTGATGAACAACCAGATGAGGTGATGATGTCTCCGATGTGTCGGCTTTGGTCCCCAATTCAAGAGTTGAACATTGCCAAATCGGAGAAGTACAAGTTGAAGCTTGCAGAAGATAGACAGTACAACCATGACACCATTTTGACGATGTGTTCCATTGCATTTCAAGAGCAGTTCAGAGGAGGACGAGAAGCCACGCTGGAACATCCCTGGCTTAGTCGAGCATGGAATACAAGAGCATTTGCGTGTCTTGAGGAAATTAGCCACGACACCTATGTCGATCAGTGCATGTATGGACTTCAAGTTCCTGATCATGCAGGAGTCCCGGGCTTGGCACGAAAGCCCACATGCTTTCGAACTACAAAGGCAAGTTTGTCCGAAGGCCTGACTTGTCAATGTGACGGGTCACACATCCACGTCCCCATCGAAGGCAATGCTCCAGGTGGGAGGAGTCGCAGTTCGATAGCCGAAGATTACCCAGAGAAGTTGGCAAAGAAGCTGGCTTATTTGATGCAGAAAGACCCAACAGATGATCAGATCTTTGCTGCAGAAGAGGATGAAGATGTTGAGATGCCAGAGGCTGAACCGGAAATCGAGAGCAAAAAGTACATTGAAGTGTTGGAGCATGACAAACAACATGTTTTGCCAAAAGAGTTGTTCGATGATGGTGCAGGCAACATTGATCCTGTGACAAGCAATGCATTGTTGAGACGACAAGTTGGCAAAGCAGCCATGAACTATGTTGTCAGGCTTCATCGCAATTTGGGCCATCCTGGTTCAAATGTGCTGTGCAAAATGCTTGAAGAGGTTCAGGCCACACAGAATGTCATGAATGCTGCAAAGGACTACGTGTGTCCTGAATGCTTTGTTCGCCAAGGACCAGCAGGTGTTCCTCCAGCTGCAGGCTTGACGGCCCGAGTGTTTGGAGAACGGCTCATGGCCGACACTGCATGGATTGACACTGATGATGGTCGTGTTTGTGTCATGACATTGATGGATCAAGCAACCCGATATGTGGCCATTCGCATCATGAAGAGTGAACGTTCAGTTGATTTGGTCAAGGGTATTGAGAGAAGCTGGATCAAACACTTTTCCATCCCCAAGTACATTCGAGTTGATGAAGGAAAAGGCTTTGCAGCAAAATATCTTCGAGATTGGTGTTCTGAAAGGAATGTGATTTTGGAGATAGCACCCGCTGAAAGTCACAACTGGATTGGCTCGATTGAAAGGAAGCATCAAGTGGTCAGGAAGAGCCTCGAGATCTACATGCAAGAGCGTGGCAAACGTGACAAGAAAACACTCGAAGAAGCTGCCATTTACTGTCCAGGACAAATCAATTCATTGAGCTACACCCGAGGTTTTACACCAGCACAATGGGTTTTGGGCAGGTCAGCAGCTGACACATACAGTTTGACGGCAGGAGTGTTCAATCCAAGTTTGTCACCAATGAATGACCCACTTGATTTCAATCAGATTCAAGCAAAAAGACTAGCAGCACAGATGGCATTTCTGAAGGCAGACTCCGATGCTCGTCTTCGTCGTGCAATGCTCCAGAATTTCAAGAAGACCAGGCATTACATTGTTGTGGGACAGTTGTGCTACTATTGGAGGATTCAACGGTCTGGAATTCTTCAGAAGAACAAGTGGAGAGGTCCTGCAAGATGTGTTGCTGAAGAACGAGACGAAGATGGCAAGCAGATCGTGCTTTGGTTGTGCCATGGAACCTCATTGCTTCGTTGCTCTCCTCATCAAGTACGACCACTTGTGAAAGATGCAGGACTACATAAACCAGTTGACACCAAGGCTGCATTGGAAGACTTAAAGGAACTACGAGCACGAAGCACCACACAGTTCAGAGATGTGTTGCAACAGCCCGAAGAATATGAGCTTGAAGATTTGATGGACAATGAACAAGATGATCTTCTTGAATATGAGCCATCGGAAGCACCTACAGATCGTGAAGACGAACCCGTGATCATCCCAGATGATGAAGTTCCAGGTGCTGTGCTGATGTATCAGCGTGGAAGAAGTGAAGAAGGCCGACCTATGTCATCAGCTTCCCCATCCACAGAAGTGCCAGAATGTCCATCGGTGACCGGAGAAGATCAAGAGATGAAGAATGAAGTTGAAGAACATGTCACTGAGTCCGCCATGAAACGTGCTCGCCATTCCTCAGCGGCAGAGATTCCCGTTCCTGATGATGATGACCTTTTCATTGAAGACGCCTTCATTGTCGAGATGGAGCCAGGAACATTGCCCAAAGGATGTTGTTTGATTGATGGAGAATTTGAGTTGGACGAAGCATTCTTGGCTGAAGTGAGTGAGAAGCACATGACCCTAGAAGAGAAAGAAAAGATGATTCAAGCCAAGCAGAAAGAGTTGATGCAGTATTTCGACAACAAGGTGTGGGAGTTCACAGAGTTGGGCAAACACCAAACAAATCGGGTGATTACTGCACGTTGGGTTTTAGTTTGGAAGCCACCATCAGATGGCGAACTACAGAGAAAAGCAAAAGCGCGTCTTGTGCTTCGTGGATTCCAAGATCCCGACTACCTCAGCTTGGAGAAGAACAGTCCAACAGCAAGCAAAACGTCGAAGATGATTCTTTTGTCATTGACCCCAGTGCTTGAATGGACAATTTTCTGTGGTGATGTGAGGGCAGCATTTTTATCCGGAGCAACATTTGATCGTGAGATCATTGTGAAATTGCCTTCAGACTGCAGTGCAATGTTGGGAAACAAAGGTCCAACATACATGAAGATGAAGAAGTCAGCATATGGGTTGTGTGATGCTCCCCTACTTTGGTGGACAGAAGCAGATCGACGCCTTCGCGAACTTGAAAAGACATCGTTTGTGCAAGTGTACATACATGTGCTATAACTCATCGCAATTGTTGGTGGGTTTGATCATTGTACACGTTGATGATCTTTTGATGAGCTTCAACATGAAGGACAACGAGGCAATGAACAAGATCCAAGAGATTAGAAAGGCATTTGATTTTGGAAAATGGCAAGAGCTGAAACAAGGTGAAGACATCATTTATTGTGGAGGTCGCATTTCAAAGCACGGACAGAAAGTGAATCTCGACTTTGAAGACTATATGAAGAAGGTGATGCCGATCACGATTCACAAAGGTCGAGCACAAAAAGATCCTCTGACAGCATCAGAAGTGTCAAAGGCCCGTGCATTGATAGGAGCCCTGCAATGGCCAGCCGGCCAAGGATGTCCATTTTTGAATGCCTCAACCTCATTGACAGCAGCAACCATCAACAAAGCAACGGTGGAGCTTCTTTCAGAGTTGAACAAAACGTTGCGTTTCGCAAAGCAAAATGCAGAGTTCAAGATGAGCATGACAGCAGTTTGCAACGGATTTGGTAACGACATGTGCTTGTTGTGTTTTTCAGATGCTGCATTCAATGTGCGAAGTGATGGAAGCAGTCAAGGAGGCTACATAGTTGTCATGACATCATCCCGTGCATTGCAAGGAGAGCATGTGCCCTACAACGTCATCAGTTGGCGTTCTTTCAAACTGACCAGAGTTTGTCGGTCAAGCTTGAGTGCAGAAAGTCAGGCATGTGCGACAGCATTGGATGAGTTGATGATGGTGAAAACAATGATAGCATTGATGATCAATCCTGATCTCGATCCTATGTCCGAGGAAACAGCTGCAACATGTTGCAAATCAGCAATTATTGTTGATGCCAAAGCATTGTTCGATAGTTTGAAGAGGGATGGCATTGGCAGTGCAGCTGACAAGAGAGCAGGTATTGAAATTTTATGCATCAAAGAAGAGATCAAAAGGCTTCGAACAGAGCTTCGTTGGGTAAGCAGTGAAAGAATGTTAGCTGACGGTTTGACCAAGTCGCATACAAGGCAACAGCTAGCAGAGATGCTGAAGAGTGGATGGCTCAGCATTGTTCATGATGAAAACTACGTCGCTGCAAAGAAAAAGAACAAAGAGGAAAGACAAGCATCGACAGCTCAAACATTTGGGTATACCAACCAGGTTGCTGCAAGAATCTCAATGGTTGTTGCATTGAGTAATGTTGCACAGACATCCGCTCAGAACATGACCGAAGTGGGTGAGCATGTTGGTGTGTTGGAATCCTATGTTACGGACTATGCAGTTGACTACGCCCTCATTGTGACAGTGATTTCATTGATTGTTGGGACGCCGTTGATCGCAGTTGTGTTGTGGAAGTGCATGTGCAAGTGGTGTCGGTTCATTACTACTCTGTATAGGCAAGCAAAGATGATTCAGCTGCTGATGACAGAGAACATTGAACTGAAGGAAGAAGTTGAGAGGTCACGAGATGAGCTGTATCGGATTCGCCAACGAATCGTAAGGATGAGAGTTGGTTTGTGCTTTTACACCGAAGGTGGCACAAGATGGCATTGTTACAATGACTGCCGGACGATTCGAAACAGCCAGAGAGTGTTGAATAAGGATGGCATGTGTAGGATTTGCTGGGAAAAGCTACTGGAGGACACAGCCGGTGATGTTCCCACGCCTCCCCACGGCTGGAATGAAGACACAGATGCCACCGAAGAGTGACCTTGAATTTGGAATTTTAAATTTTCGTTTCGAAGTTCCTCCTTTCCCTTGTGTGAAAATCCATCCGGATTTCGAAGGTCACTTCATTGATACATGTTCGGTGATGTGGGCCCAAGCGAGGGTGGGACTCCGGAGCCTGAGGCGACGCCATGAAAATGATCGCTGGCTGTTGAGCGCTGGTGATTTTCGACACACGTGTCGATTGTTTTACATTGAGTGGACTTCGAGGGCCAACTTACATTGGTTGAGTTTGGAGTTGATTAGTTGTTCAGCTGCCTATCAACTTTTGTTGCTGTATATATATATAATTACGGATATACGCCTAATTACCAGCTTGATGACTCCGGTCAAACCTGCCGGATACTGTCCTATCAAAAGGATGTGCTCCGTGTGGATGGCGCGAGTTCCCAAGTTTGAGCTCCCAGGTCTTGCTTGGGCTGCTGCTCCAAGTAGCGTGCGCAGGTGTGCGCCAACTGAAACGAGTCTTCTCACTCCTCGTCCTTCTTTTTTCCACTTTGATGCAGCACACCTGCCCCCTACTTCCCGCAAGTGCTGAACGCGTGCCTGCGGGTACCAATTCTGTCCAAATAATCACAGCATTCACAAGTCGAGTTGGGCCACACTGATAATAGCCTCAACGTGTTGGATCGGTGTCCGGGATCCCGGCCTTTCCACATGAACAAAACTTGCAGCGACGAAGTGTGTTCTTTTTATTGCATTGAACTGGAAACCAGCTCATGCAAGTGAGGAACCAAAGTCGACTTGAGCAAAGACTCAGCGAGAAAAAGGCAAGCATTGTTAATCTTTCGATGTCAATGATTGGAGCATAGCCTAGCAAGCGCTGGAGAAAGTGTTTGCTTCGACTGAAGGATTAAAGACATTGCATGAGCAGCTGTCTAGCTCATTTTTCCGGTCAATTTCCAGATAGCAGGACAAATCTATTGCCAGCATGGCTTCATTATGCTCCCTACCTCCCCTCCTTTCATCTTTCTCGTCATCCAACTTGGCACTGGTCGTCCAAATCTCCTCCAAGAAGTTTGGGTTTGGTCCCTGGTTCAGCAGCCCTTCAGCAACAGCAACAGTTACCTGGCGCCAGACTTAGGGGACCTGGTGCAGGGTTTGAGCGACAGCGATGCTGGAGGGCCTCGAGCTGGACCATGACGGCAGGGCTCAGTCAGGATTCTTAGCACGGTCAAGGGGGTGGGCCAAGATGGGTCAAAAGATGGTCCACAGATCGTCATGAATGTGAACATTTGCAGCAAGGATTTAAGCACAGACTGGAAACTGCGCTCACAAAAGCAACTCTGTGCCCAGCATTTCTAGCCTCGCTCAGATGACCACCGACCTGAGAAGTACGGCAGGGGCTACTGACGTCTACGATGCACCAATGCCCAACCCAGGGGATCCTAGGATTCAGCTGGCAGCACCTTGGCTGTGGTTGGGGCGAGCATTCGCGAAATGAGAAGATGCATTTTTTGATGTTTCGACTCTGAGGATTGGGTGAGTGAAGGGTAGCGCAGTTGTTTTTTTGGGGACCATCTTCTTTGGAGCGCGGGTTCGTTTGGTTCTTTCAACATCTTTCAACATTCTCCGATTCGCAAGTCTTGATGGTTCCCGACACTGAGCCCTAGTCACAATTTTGCACCCATGTGCCGTCGTGCACGGGTGGCTAGTGGCCCCAAGGATGCCAATCTCAGTAACAGTAAGCCGATATAAGCCGATGATGCCTGCTGATGGAGTAGGCCTTGAGATTTCTTCAGCACACCCGTTCGGGATTAAGAGTTGGTCGCGTGTGATCAACCCCAATTGCATAAACCAGGGCGATGTGGACCATGGGCAGGTTTGAGACATGACTTTAAAACCCCTTATGCTGATCCTTTGCCCGATAGCCGAAGATTTCGGATGGCTGGATGGCGATCCAGGCCTAGGGCGATGCCCGGCTGAGGAATTCCTGGAGAGTGGCGATGACCGAGGCCCTTTGGGCTTCTTGAAGCAAAGGAATTTGGAAGCGAATGAGAACCCGACACATTGGTTCGCGGTGTTCCGGCCCACCAGTGCTCGAGACTCAGACGTGTGAAGCATATAAGAGGAGACACTAGACTCACTAGACTTCTTGCCTCTTTTTTGGGCAGGGTTTGGCACGAACCCAGTGGTTAGCCCCAGGCTGATGCCATTGAGAAGATGATGACTGGACAAGGTACAGGCAAAGATCTCAACATCAAGGGCAAATCGGCCAAGATTGGGCGCCTCTCAGGCCAGGTATCATTATCATTGGGATATATTGTCTCGTGGTTTGGGTGGTCTGATTAATTGCCACGGGTGAATCCATGTCTTGACAGGCTATGTTCCTGTCCTGCAGATCAGTGAAAATGATCATAAGAAGCGACTTGGCACTTCGCCAGCAGAAGGCAGAATTAGCTTCTTGGATGGTGAGAATTCATTCATGCAAATGTGTCGATGACAATCAAGACTCTTGATTCAAAAGCACTCGCCATGCCTTGCAACTGAGGAATTTACATGGCCCACGAAGAGTCATGCCACCGCATGCAAGTGCGGATGCAGCAGGTCCCGTCCGTGTTTCGTTTGTCGTTGGTGTCGTTGTTGTCCGGCGCAGCCATGCCGTGAAAACACCGAGGTGTTGATAGAGATGGCCCGCGGTGTTGCCGCGGCGAAGTCTATCACGAGGCAACATGAGGCGGGCTCCTGCGGCCGTTCCTAGGGCAAGTAGAAGGAGGAAGCAAAGTGTGTTTGTCTTGAGTTTGGAGTGTTGCGATCCTTCGCGCACAAGGCTGGCTACATCCCCTTGTCCGACGAACAGCTAGACAGAATCCACAAAGCGCTTGGCATGGAGGCTAAACCATCTAAACCTATCTAAACCTCTTTTTGACCTAGGCTGTGCGAAGACTTCAGGATTGGTTTTAGTAGGCTGCGGGAAACTATGGGATTCCTGCATGGACCAGCGACTTCAGTACCTTGATGGATGGTTGTAGCATTCATTTCCAAAATGCTCCAAACAACTCAGCAGAACAAAAACAGATTGCAGATTTTTGGCACACTTGCTGAAGCCAATGAAAGCAATTAAAGGCACACCTTAAAGCAAATGAGAGCGGAATTAAAGCCAAAAACAACATCAAAAACTCTGCTTTTTCTAGCTGCAGGCTATAGGGGTTCCAACTTCTCAATGGTGTGGCTCTGGATCGGCGTTTTGGTTTTACGAGTGCTGCTGATGCTGGTGCAGGTGCTGGCTCTGGATCGGCGTTTTGGTTTTGCAGGTGGTGCTGCAGTGCTGGTGGAGGTGCAGGTGTTGGCTTTGGATGGGCATTTTGGTTTTGCCGGTGCTGCTGCCATGCTGATGCTGGTGCTGGATCGGCGTGTTGTTTTGCTGGTGCTGGTGACGCGCTGGTGCAGGCGCTGGCTCTGGATCGACGTTTTGTTTTGCGTCATGCCAGGGATGACGCCATGTCATGCCCAGAACTACATCATGTCACGCCAGGGGTGACATGATGTCATGCCCAGAATGACATCATGTCCTGCCAGGGGTGGCATCATGTCATGCCAGGTGACATCATGTCATGCCAGGGAAGACATCATAAACGGCATCATAGTAGGGTAGGTCATGCCCAGGATGCCAGGGATGACATCCTGTGTGGCCAGGAGTCATATTGTGCATGGCACCATGCTGCGCAGCAATGATCATCATGTCTTCTGAGCAGCTTTAGCTGGTCCTTGCCGATCTTTCAGTGTTTTACGTTTGTGTTGGGCAAAGCGGGCGCGTTCAGCTGATGCGCATATTGGTGGACTGGTCTGATGGGGTCTATGCTGGTCTAATTTTCCACGAAAGGTAGCCTCGGATACCTGAGCCCGCATTGCTTCAGCAAAATGAGACTTCGATGGGTTTTAGCAATGACTTTAGATCTCGGGCCCACCCTGCGCCGCTCTGTTTTTAGGAGTGCTCTGGCTGCTGCTGCTGCTGCCGCCGCTGCTGCTGCTGGTGCTGCTCGTTTGCTGCTGTGCTGGTGCTACTCTTTTTTTGGGGGGCTTTGTTGCTGCTGCTGTTGCTGCTTTCCTGGTTTGCTGCTGCTGCTGCTCGTTTGCTGCTGCTGCTGGTGCTGTTATTTTGTTTTGTTGCTGGTTTTGCTGGTTTGCTGGTTTGCTGGTGACGGAAAGCGATGAATATCGCTTTGAGTTGCTCCCCCGGAGGTTTTGCTGGGGGGGGGTGAAAGTTGACACCAAGGCCCACAAGAAGACAGAAAGAGCACAGAAGAGACAAAAACAAAGCAAATCAACGTAAGATGAGAGTTTTTTGGCACCAAGGCCCACAAGAAGACAGAAAGGACACAGAAGAGACAGAAACGAAGCAAATCAACTTAAGATGAGAGTTTTCTGACACTAAGGCCCACAAGAAGACAGAAAGAGCACAGAAGAGACAGAAACAAAACAAATCCACTTAAAGCAAACCAACTTAAGATGAGAGTTTTTTGACACCAAGGCCCACAAGAAGACAAATGCAACTTTTTGAGGGCTAATAAGCCCAACGCAAACCCACCCAAAGCAACTTTTTACTGTAAATTACAGTTTTTTTGCACCTTCGAGCCTGCCTCAAGACACCCCAAAAGTTTGCAAATCACAATCTCGAATTTTCACCCCCCCCCCAGGAGCTGAGGTGGTAAGAGATAGAAGCATTTGTGATGTCAAACGAATGATTCCCAAAAGGTGCAATCAAAGGACTGAGTTTTCTTTTGTTTTGTCCATGTATTGAAGTCAGTCCATGCATCAAGCAAACGTTCGGCTTCATCCCGGTCATCTCCCCCCC